GTTATTTGTATTTGGTGATATATCGTTATGACTGCCTCGTTGGTCTAGTGGTTGTAATAGTGCGACCGCTGATCGTAAGGTCCTGGGTTTGAATCCCGGGTCAGGCCAAAAAATCAATTATTGAGTTTTTCTGTCAAGAAATTCTCAATATCTGCCAGGAATTTGACGGTGTATCACCCCCGTGCCTCGGAAAGCACGTAAAGCCGTTGGTCCTACGCCTGATCTCTCTCCGGTCGTGTCGGTTTACCGTCCCATCGGATTATGAGAGTGAGGGAATAGAGAGTGCACCTGTGCTTGCGCATACACTTGGACACTATAATCCTGTCCTGTGCCGATGGCTAGTCTCCGTTGAGGCAGGCCGCCGTGACCGTAATTCGGTCTGCAGGACATGATTATATGGTTTATACTGCGCTTGGTACTAGTAATTTTACTTTTAAACTTGTTTTCTTAACCTTACATTTACCTACACATAATATGGACGTCCTAATATCCTAAAACTTTCGTACTGAATGATATTTGAAACCCGTATTTTTGAATTTAGTTATATTTTTATAAATGTAGATGCGGACGCCGGCTTATCAGTTTATTTCATGCTGCACTATGTTTTAACATTTTACATTTGGTACTAATCTGCCTAAAAGAACTCTTGTTAGGTATTTCGTAAGCAACCCATAATTCTGTTTGAGTATAAGTTACCTTCTGATTGAGTACAGGAAGACGGACTCAATTGTAGATATTGACAGGTTTCATAGAAGTTTGTTTTATTATATTGTGACTAATAACCTCTGACTAATAACCTAATATGGTCTGGCGAAGAAACTCATTTTAATATAAGGTTTTACTGCATTAACTGCCAATAGGTTGTTAATTTCTACAATAGACCGTGGCATATTGTTGCTGACATGAATAACTCCGAAAATATAATTTATTTACTTGATCGTGTTGAGTTTTGGTGCTCTCACTACATCTTAAGGATGAGTGCGACTATTGTACCTAATCTGTACAAAATTACTCTATACTTAACTAGATTCATTTTTGTGAAAGGTTATTTTCGTTAAATTATGATATTATGTTTGGTTTTGCAGTTAGTTGAAATACAATTTAATTCTTCACACACGTTTTCTAAGCTTCTAAGCGTTTTATCATTTCTAGAACGAAACATTTTATAAAACACCAAAGTGACTATTTTACACCGCATGGCCTCCCTACACTAAAATACAAATAAAACAATAGCGAAAAATGTCATTAAAGCAATGATCATTAATTTTTTTTTTTTCTATTTATTGTGACACAAACAGTCATTAAAAAGAAAGTACAATATTATAACATTACATAATTAATAGACAACGAGTGCCGAAGAAATACATTAGAATAACATTTCAGTTTAGCTTGTTGAAAGATTTACCCATGTTAGTTGAAGCTGAGTAGTAAATTTATCTTTATGTAACAACAGTACAGTAAAGCTTAAAATAGGTAACTTAATTAAAGTTGAAAAACATACATTTTTAAGGGACAATAATTAATACATCGTAGAGATTACCGAATGTTACGCTGTCAAGTATTCATCTGAATAACTCTTAAAGATACTTCGTTTAAGACTTTTTAAGGAGCAACTAAAGAGATCGAGATTTACAAATTCTTTATTGTATAATTTTAACGAACGGGAGATAAAGCAGTTTTGTGTATATTTTTTTCGAAGTGTAGGTGGTACGAATGTTTGAAATACACGTTGAGGGCGAGCGGGCAGACGAAAATTACTTTTAATGTTTATTTTGGCTAATAAAGGAGAGCAGTCAATTTTATTATTTAGAATTTTATACAAGAAAATGATATCGAAATATTTACGGCGATCACTGAGACTCAACATTTTATGTTTATGAAGGGAGTTAATATACGGTTCGCCATAAAGGTCACAGCGGTAATTTAAAATCTTAATAAATGTTTTTTGGACCTTTTCAATTCTATCAATATGGTTTTTATAAAATGGACACCACACTATACAGCCGAAGTCAAGAATGGATCTTACAAATGAGAAATAAAGGATTTTAGGAGTGATAGTCTTATTGAATGGTTTAGTTATTCTATTAATGAAACCGAGGCTTCTAAAAGCTCTTTTTATAGCTAAATCTATGTGGTCATTGAAGGAAAGCTGATCGTCCATGTTGATGCCCAAGTCACGAATGTTTCTAACACGACTAAGAGCCTTCCCAAAAAGAGTATAATTATAAGTTAAGAGGTTTGATTTTCTTGAGTAATTTATTATAAAACATTTATCTGCATTGAGGTACAAGTGATTACTTTCACAATAATTACATAAGCTCTCAATATCCGATTGTAGTTTGTGGCAATCTTCAATAGAATTTATTGTCCTGAAAAGTTTGGTGTCATCTGCATACAATAAATGATGGCTGTTATGTAAGACATCACCTATGTCATTGATGTACAAGGAAAAAGGCACAGGGCCCAGATGAGAGCCTTGTGGGACCCCAGAAGGGGCCACAAGAAAGGATGAGCAGTAACCATTCAAACAGACTGCCTGACTGCGATTTCGTATATATGATTCGATCCATCTAAGCAGACTTCCATGCACTCCTAATCTCCAAAGCTTTTTTAGAAGTATGTCATGGTTAATTTTGTCAAAAGCTTTGGAGAAGTCGGTGTACACGACATCAACCTGGGTGTTATTATCCATTGCATTAAGAAGGAAGTCTGTAAACATGACCATATTGGTGTCCACACTGCGCGATTTCATAAAGCCATGTTGATTTTCATCGATATGATTACGCACAACATATGACAATTGATTAGTTACAATCTTCTCAAAAATTTTACTAAGGACACATAACTTAGAAATTGGCCGATATTGAGTAATTTGATCTTTTTTGTGAGTTCTTTGGTATTGGAGTAATGAGAGCCCGTTTCCATACACTAGGAAACATTCCAGTTTTCATAGATAGTCGAAAAATATTAGATATCGGTTTTAACAACTCTTTAGCACAACGCAATATAATCACTGGGTGCACTCCATCCGGCCCGGCACCTTTATTTATATTGACATTCTCTAGTTCTTTAATAATGATGTCATCACTTAAGTAAATTGTATTTATGGATATGAGCGGATCAGTATTTAAATTATTATCTAATTTACTATTATTATAATTGGTGGACGGCCTAACAAAAACAGATTGAAAGTAATGGTTAAAAGCATCGCAAATGTCGTTACCGTCAGACAGGGTCTCACCTTTGTAAGTCATTTTTTGAGGGATGGTACCAGTCATTCTCTTCGATTTGACGTAAGACCAAAAGAATTTAGCATTAGATTCAATTTTCTGTTCAGAGAGGGTAATGAAATTTGAGTAACATTCACTTTCCATCTTGCGCAGTTTCGATCTTAGCATAGAAAATGTATTGTAGTCTGCTTCATTATGATAAGTTTTCCATTTTTTATGGTATTTGCGTTTTTCTTTATCGAGTTTAATAAGGGGACGATTGTACCACGGGGGATATCTACTTGTATCGTGTACAATGCGGGATGGTACATGCTTATCTATAAGACTATTAAGAATTTCATAAAAATATTTAACTCTATCCTCAACGTCAGGCATAGTACAAAATTTTGCGTCCCAGTCTACGGAGACTAATCCCTTTCTAATACTATCAAAATCTGACCGAAAGAACAATTTTTTGTTTATTGTGTTGGTTTTGAGGGATTTGTGTAAGTGAAGAGGAAGTTCAATACATAAAGATTTATGATGGGGCATCTTCAGCTATTAAGGGACTGTCACAGGCCCGTAAACAGCAAGCAGTCGTGCAAAAAACTAAGTCAAGTAGTCTGTTATTTACGTTAAATTCATAATTAAATTGTGATAATAGGGAAAGGTTCATGAAATCGCTAGTGAGGGCTATTAATGGATCATTACTTGTTCTTATGTTCATGCTACCTATGTCGTCATCATAAAACCACTCTGCATGTGACACATTAAAGTCACCTAAAATAAGAAATAAATCGTTAGGATTTGTGTTAATTAGATCACTAGTTCTATCGTAGAATGATGCTAGTAAAGATTCGTGTCGGACGCCGTGAGGTATATAGGTTGACTGGGAGAGAATGCCTAATGGCATTAAGTCCGCCCTTTGTAATCTTTTTATGGTGCAATAAAGTGTAAATAAATAAATAAATAAATACAGGCAAGGTGTAAATACGATACCGCGTTCGCAACGTCGTCAGTAGGTATAGGCCGGGTGCGCAACGGAATGCTCACCCACAGCTCGTCGGCGGGCGGCGGGGCGCACCAGCGCGTGCGCAAGCTTGGACACAGCTCGCGACTCACTGCTATTATGACGCCACCGCTACGCGTGCATTGCGTGGAAAAAGAGTCTCGATCGCATCTAAATACCTCGAAGCGCTCATCAAAAAATTCAGAATTGAAAAATCCTTCATTTAGCCATGACTCAGTGATACATATCACATCAAAATTACAATTTAGAATGCTTTTAAGAAAGTCGTGAGATTTAGTTCGCAAGCCCCTAACGTTTTGATAATAAATTGATATTGTTTTACGAGTAGCCATTTCATAAAATTAGGTTATTTATTATAGAAAATAATAGAAAAACAATGTTACATTCGTACCACATTATTTTAATATTTTTTTTTTGGTGCTTATTAAGAGGGTAGATAGGTATTTCAATTCACAATAATTATTATTTTGAATCTCCCTATATCCTGTAGTGACACCTATAGAATATTTATTTTTTGATTTAATTAGCAATTTATGGATTTTAAAGAAATTATAGTTATCAGATATTTGTTCATTAAAAAGTAAATAATAGCACATAAATAAATATTCACAGCGCAATGATGCATGCTTATATTGACTATCGTATACAGCGTCAAGAGTTATAAAATTAAACACAGTACAACGGCTCAAATGTAATAAACACATAAATGCAAACAAAAAAATCGACACAATGTTAACAAAGTATACCTTATCAATAAGTAGTCATATTTTGTTTAAATCGTGTTCATTGGATATTTGTATTATTTTAGATGTATCCGATTTGCGCAAAAACATTTTACAATCCCGTGACCAAATATACTTATAATGGAGTTCTTTACCTAGTTTACGCGCTTTTCCAAATAAGATTTTATTATGTGGTGCCAGATGGTCATTAATAAAAACCGGTCTTGAGGCGCCGTCCAGGCCTAAGTCAGCTGTAGTCAGGTCGCGGCGCACGCGCACTGCCGCCAACATGTCGGATTTTCTTTTTCTTTGAGTAAATCGTACTATGATATTCGGGATGTCAGATGATTCTCGACCAAGTATGGTTTTCTTATTATCATCATTACGAGGATATCGCCTGACTCTGTGAATATAGTCGACATCAGAAGGTGATATTATGAATCCAACCTTAGTTGCGATGCAGTTTAGGATAGTATTGAGGTTTTCGCTTCTCTTGAACGGGATTCCGGTAATCTCCAAATTATTCAAGCGACCTTGCTGCTCTCTGTCGCCGAGCTGTGTGGATAGGGAGGTAATGACGTGGTTTTTTTCAGACAATTCTTTTTCTAGGGTACATACTCTCATATTATATATTATATTAATGTGTGTCTTATACACAAGGAATTCATATTCAAATTCAAATTCATGGTTATATGGACGTCAAATATCGTGCGGTATTAAACTTTACCGATAATCTGACGTCCACATATAGAAATATAACAAAATTCAAAAATATGGACGTCAAATATCATTTAGTATGAATGTTTTAGGATTTACGGACGTCCATATTATTATGTGTACACAGGTAGTAATTTAAAGTTAAAATTTCGGCGCACACCGTGCCCCAAAAACCGCTATAAACGGCAATATTTATCAAAAAAGAAATAAGGAAGGTTTTCTAAGCGTTTTATCGTTTATAGAATGGAGCATTTTATGAAACACCAAAGTGACTATTTCATACCGCATGGGCTCCCTACACTAAAATAAAAATAAAACAATAGCGAAAAATGTCATTAAAGTAATGATCATTAATGTGTGTCTTATACACAAGAAATTAAAATATAAATATATTGATGGTTATATAGACGTCAAATATCGTGCGGTATGAAACTTTACCCATGATCTGACGTCCACATATAGAAATATAACAAAATTCAAAAATATGGTCGTCAAATATCATTCAGTATGAATGTTTTAGGATATTCGGACGTCCATATTAATTATTATATGTAGCTAAATCTAAGGACACGAAAACAAATTGGAAAGTAAAATTATCTACTAACACTGAGTACAGTATAAACCGACAAAAATACCAAAATATGCCTTGAGCACTAAATAAATAGTTAACATCAATAAATAGTAAAATGCAATAATCAACAACAACTTTGGACATCGGATATCGAAGAAGTGGACGTCAAATAAAACTTAGTGTGAATATTTTAGGATATTCTTACGTCCGTATATGGGTAAATTCTCCGTTCAATGTCCATGTCAAGTACATTAATCAACTTACGCAAGTTTATTTTCCTAAGTTACTAAATATAACCAAAGAAACTTAAATGCAAGCAAGCATAAGCGTGGAAAGTTCTCAATGTCACTCGTTCTCAGTGTCGTTCTCAGGTCAAAATACGGACACCAATTAGAGCACGATATGCATGTTTTTAGTAATATAGCGTCCAATATTTATAACAGCAACACAAACAAAATGTATTTCAACTAACTGCAAAACCAAACATAATATCATAATTTAACAAAAATAGCCCTTCACAAAAATGAATCCGTGTTATTCATGCTAAACGAATCTAATAAAGATCTGTTATTTTTGTCTCCTGCGAAAAAAAACAGACTATAGAAATCTATCAAATACCTACATAAACAAATTATCACCTACTATAAATAAAATATTACAAAGCGGAATAACTAATAAGAGTGGCAACGTCGCACCATACAAAGGAATTGCATTAAGCAGGAGAATGAATTAAAAACTAGGTATATTACGGGGATTCTGGATAATTTGTAATATGGAAGGGAGTCCTGATTGGTTTCCCTCCGTCTGGCAATATACGAATATTTGTATATCGACGTATGGTAAATTTTCAAAGAAATGAGTTAAACACTATCTTTGAAATTGTTTAATGGACCAATATTCGCTGTCATAATGTATAAAAATTGCCTACAAGTGGTGGACGCTACAATAATTCGAAATGAAAGGACGTAGAATCAATAATGTGATGTATATATATATATATATATATATATATATATATATATATATTCATCATCATCATCACATACTACACTTCGCCTACCGATACGAGGCTGCCACTCGAAAACCCTTCTTCCCCAACGGTTCTCGGTTCTTCGAGCTATATGGCCGGCCCATTACCACTTCAGCTTACTAATCCGTTGGGCTATGTCGGTCACTCTGGTTCTACTGCGGATATCCTCATTTCTAAGTTTATCACGCAGAGGAACTCCGAGCATAGCCCTCTCCATAGCTCGCTGAGCGACTTTGAGCGTCCTCGTACGGCCAGCAGTGAAGGACCACGTCTCGGTTCCGTAAGTCATCACTGGCAAGTGGCAACATGCACTTGTTGTACAACTTAGTTTTCAGGTTTTGAGGTATAGCTGACGAGAAGATGTGTAGTAATTTCCCGAACGCTGCCCAGCTGAGTTGAATCCGTCGATTGACCTCTCGATCGAAGTTGGAGTAACCTAGTCGGACTATTTGTCCCAGATAAACGTACTCGTTAACAACTTCGAGCTTAGTGCTCCCAACAACTACCGGCATAGGTGTGACATGGACATTAAACATGATTTTTGTTTTGTCCATGTTCATCTTAAGACCATCCGTTGGGAGGCACTATTGAGGTCATGGAGCATAGCGCTTAAGTCCTCCAGCGATTCTGCCATAAGGACTATATCGTCGGCAAATCGAAGGTGAGTGACATACTCGCCATTGATGTTAATACCGTATCCTTTTCAGTTCAGTAGCTTGAAAACGTCTTCCAATGCAGCGGTGAAGAGTTTCGGGGATATAATGTTACCCTGTCTTACACCTCTCTGCAGTTGGATAGGTATCGAACTTTGGTTCTGTACTCGGATAGCTATCATAGCCCTAATGTACAAAGACTTCAGCACTTCGATATACCGACAGTCAACTTGGCACCGCTGAAGAGACTGTAGCACCGCCCAAATTTTGACGGAATCAAAGGCTTTCTCATAGTCCACATACGCAAGGCAAAGTGGCAGATTGTACTCTCCGAACTTCTGTACAATTTGCCGAAGGGTATGTATGTGGTCTATGGTACTAAAGCCTTTTCGGAAACTGGCTTGTTCGGAAGGCTGAAAGTCGTTGAGTCTGCGTGCGAGACGATTCGGAATGACTCTCGAAAACAGCACGTAGACGCGGCTCAGAAGGGATATCGGTCTGTAGTTCTTCAAGAGGACGTTGTCACATTTTTTGAAGAACAAGACCACCGCACTTCTGCTCCACGCCTCCGGAGTAGTGCCACCATGGAGGACGAAATTAAGGAGCTCCTGAAGGACTTCAAGTACCGGTTTTCCACCCGCTTTCAAAAGCTCCGCTGTAATTACATCCTCGCTCGGGGACTTGCCGTTTTTAAAGTGCTGGAGAGCCATTCTAATCTCGCTCAGACTGACGCCCGGGATATCATCGGAATAGTGTCGGATAAGACTTGCTCTTGGATCGTTACTCACACTTGTGTGTGGCTCCAACAATGATGTGTACAGCTGCGTAGTGTCCCGGAAACGATGCTGCCACACTCAGTCTTCAGCTTTGACAGTTAGCTCTTACTGGCAGACAGATCTCTGGCAAAGACTTTGGAGCACCTGGTTCCGCTCGATCGCTTCTTCAATACGAGCAGTATTGAAGTTGCGCAAGTCTCGCCGCATGCATTTGGAGATCTGTCCTTTCAGTTGTCCGTATGCTGTCAAATCTCAACAGATTTGACAGCATACGGACAGACAGGAGATGAGGCTGCAATCGTCAACACGATTGCAGCCTCATCTCCTGTCTAACAGCCATGAGATTAAGAGTGTGATCGGAGAGTTTTTGTGTTCTTCTGCGGCGGGTCTTGAAGAACTTAGCTGCGACCGCATGGACAGTTTCCACGATCTTGTCGTTCATATCGTCCACTGCATTGCAATCTTCTAGGCACTGAAAGCGGTTACGTAATACGAGCTGAAATGTTTCGGTATTCTGGATCAGAACACGAGGGGGAGGGAGCGTTGACTTCATCAGACGAGACCTCTCCAACTTAACGTTTAGGTTCAGTGTGCCTCTAACAATTCGGTGATCACTGCCAGTTTTCACCCTTGCGATCACTGAGACATCACTGAACAGTTGGCGTCTGGTCGTCATAATGAAGTCAATCTCATTTATTGTCGAACCGTCGGGGCTCTACCAGGTCCACTTCCTGTGGGGCCTCTTCTAGAAGAAAGAGTTCATCATAAAGAGTCCCTCTTTCTCCATAAAGTCGGCCAGCTGCTGGCCCCTACGGTTCCGTTGCACTACTCCAAATTTCCCTAACTTCAGCTCACCGCTTTCTCCAGTACCTAGATTTGCGTTGAAGTCTCCCATCAACACCGTGTAGTGGGTTTTGGAGGAATGCATGGCTCTGGAAGTATCCTCATACATTTACTCCACCTCCTCATCGGGATGTGCCGAGGTTGGTGCGTAAATCTGTGTGACCTTCAGCGAATACCGTTAAGTGATTCTGAGTATCGTCGACACACTTTCAATCTTTACAAAGCTGTTGACGAGAGACTTGTGGACGATAAATCCGACACCTCCTTGGGACAGATGGTCGCACTCCCGGTGATAGAACAAGTTGCCGGACTCGAGGATTACCGTGTCCTTCCCCTCTCTTCGAACCTCGGATAATCCAATAATATGCCAGCGCAACTTGTCTACCTCTTCATCCAGCTCCAGTATCTTCTCTTCAGTCCTCAGGGTGCGTGCGTTATATGTTGCCAGGCCGAGTCGTCGTAGGTGGCAACCGAACCTCCACCGGAGATTCTTATCACCGCCTGCCCCGCCGTTACAATGGTCGCCACCGTAGCCAGGAATAGCGGGGCCACCAGGCACTGGAGGCCGTTTTTGTGCGTCGTTATTCATGGGGGGATATTTGCCATAGTTGCCACGCTTGGTGAGCGGGTTGGCAATCGCAGTTTTTTATTTTATTATTGTTGTTAATAGGAAGATGCTGCTGCCCATCTCCCTGCCCGTTTCCCTCTGTCACCTCTTACGACACCCACGGGAAGATATGTGGTAGTGGATATTCTCAACCGCCACAACACGGCACAATTACAAAGTTATATATATTACTTTCACCTAAAATCACCCGTGATGGAAAATCTTGGAAAACGATTTATTTTGGGTACCAACCATACAGATAAAGGGTGGTATAAAGGTATTATTTTCAAAATCGAAAAGTCATTTATGTACCCTTTTTTGAATACCAGTCCATAAGTCTGTTTGGGTCCTTCAGTTACGATCGTCCTATTTTTAGTCGTTATAGCGGTCAAACCGCGAATTCATTTCATCATCATCATTATTACAGCCCCTTACAAGTCCACTGCTGAACATTGGCATCCATCAAAAATGCCACAAAGCACAGTCCTGAGCCACCTGCATCCATTGACTTCCTGCATGTCTTACTAGGTCGTCACTCCATCTAGTGGGGGGTCGCCCTACATCTACGGGTATGAGGCTGCCAGTCGAAAACCTTTCTTTGGTTGTCGTTTCTTCATGCTATATGGCGCGCCTATTGTCACTTCAGTTTTTTAATTCATTGGGATATGTCTGTTACTCTCATTTTTAAGTCTATCACGCAGAGAAACCCCAAGCATAGCCCTCTCTATAGCTTGCTGAGCGACTTTAAGTTACCTCATACGGCCAGCAATAAAGGATCACGTCTCAGATCCATAAATCATCATTAGCAACACGCACTGGTACAATACTATTTTGAAGTAAGCCTGACGGGAAGATGTGACGTAATCTCACACTAACTCACTTAATATTCTCAAATTATCAAGAAGGCCCCTTCTAAATTCACGTATTGTGACAGCCAACTACTTAACCCTACCCCTACATTGTGCATGACCCTACACGTACTTGGCCAGTTTTTTTTTTCAGTAATGACAAGTAGGTACGTTTGCTAAATAATTATCAAAGTAAGCGGAACGAATATTGAAGCTAAAGCCATGTTTTCTACAATGGTTATTTTTTGTCCAACAGATATTTAAATATTTATCATCTGTCAAAATATTGGCGGTCACTGCGAACAAACATATAATTAGCATTTCATTTGAAACAAAAGATAATATGGCTTTTGTTGGTTCTTACGTCATTACGGTCGTTGATAATTTTTCAAAGCCCTGGTTTCGGTATTTACGATCCTTTAAAATAATTTGCTATAAAAGAGCAAATTATTTTAAAACATTATTAGTGACGGAAAAATGGCACGTCTTATTTTGCCGTTTATAATTCTACTTTCGTTCGTGGTTACGGTGTTTAGTGGAGAAAACCAAACCAAGCCCACTCCAACACCAACTCCATCTACTACTCCTCCAACACATACGGCAACTCCATCATCAAATCCTGCGAAGGGGGTCAGTAACTTTTTACATTAGCGAAATAATAAGTACATAACAACAATTCGATAGCGTCAGATCTAAGCATTTGGCTACAGAGCTGCGGGCCACTGGCTCGTGCATGGCTTGATTATTATTTGTATGATTTATAAAGTGTTCCTGGAAATTATCTGTAAGTTACGGCAAGTAGCAGTGTTTTTAGCCTGTGTTTCGGTCTGAATGGTAAGAAAGCCAGTACAATTACAAACCGTAAGGCATTCCATGGTAGATACCAGAGATGCCAATGTACCTGTAGCCTTCTTAGTTCGAAGTTGGTTACACTTCCCATCATCTGAGGGTTTAGCTTATTAATACATGTTTATAAATATGTACAATATTACAAGTTGTAATACTCTGTTTTAACTATTATTTGACATGCGCACATAAATGTAATACTTACATAAACACTTCTTCGTATGTTAATCCAATTAATAAAGTTTTTAAACGATATTACAGGAGCAATAATCCACCGGCGTTCAAGTCCTCTGAATTATGTTTTTGTTTTTACAACTTTTTTTATAATATTTTCCCGTGCGGTAAGGGCCCATGGATCTTAGCTTATACATACAACAATAAGCCAGATTGAAATCATCATCATTACCGCTCTGCACAAATCCACTTCTAATCATATTATGCCTCTAAAGGTAAACTGCTGAGCCACCTGTATGCGTCGACTTCCTAAATTTATTATCAGATCGTCACTCCATCTAGTGGGGGGTCGCCCCACACTTCGCTTACCAATACAAGATCTTTATCAAAATATGTTTATTTAAATGCTTAAGGCGTTTTGCATGGAACAAATGTATGTATTTTCACTTTATTTTACCCACCTTAACGACAAAATATAGCACATTTATGTCACTACCTTGCGAATGATATTCTTCTAGTTTAATAATAAATGCTATTAAGGGGATGAGTAAGTCAGCTCAAATTCTAATTTCGTCCCCACTTGCCCGCGCGTCGTATGGTATGTACCGACATGTTTGTAATCACTAATACTGTAAGTAGAAAGGTCGTTAGACACTTCGATGGCCCCAACGAATAAACGTGCAATCGAAAAACGACAACTTTTCAGGAAGATATAAAAACGTTTGGAATCACATAACTTTAATTACATAATAAATAGACAAATATAACATGTTATCAAATTAAAGGTAAAAAAGATATCTTTCAGCTCATATATTTATTATAAATGAAATATTATCGGTTTACTACATTATTTAAGAAAAACCGTATTAAATTATTATTCTAGTGAATAATATGTGACTTGTTAACATTATTGTACACTGCACGTTTATTCGTGTCATAATTGAAGCTTAAACAAGTGTAGTGAAATGTTGCATGGTTATTCCACGTATATTTTTTTTCCCTGAGCCTTGCTCTGGTCATCTACACACTTATTCTTGTATATTTTGTTGCTTTTGCATATTTGTAAGGATAAAGGCCCGTATATTTGTGTTAACAAGATCGACTCAATGTTTATGTAATACGACTTTATTAGTGCATGGTATATAATGTAAATTAGCTTTTTTTTTTGTTGAAGGTTCAATAAAAAATATTCTTTATAAGAATAATTACCATTTATTTATCCAATTTAGGACGAAGTAGGTACTTATCAAGTATATTATTACTAAAACAAAAACAAGAAAAATCTAACAGAAAACAACTAATAAGTGGTTACTTATAATTCTCCTCGTCACTATCGTTGGTAACTGAGGTCAGTGATTCTGAGTATCGTCGACACACTTTCAATCTTTACAAAGTTGTTGACGAGAGACTTGTGTACGATAAATCCGACACCTTCTTGGGACAGATGGTCGCACTCCCGGTTATTATTATATTATTATATTATATTATTATCACTATCGTTGGTAACTGAGGTGGAATTTAATGGCACTAGATTTCTGTAAAAACACTGGTAATGGTTTGGTATGGCTCCCGAGTCGCACAGACTTATTAAATCTCTATATAAAGGAAGAGATATTGGTAGCATTCCAGTGTACGCGAGTTTTAGGTTTTCAGCGTGTTCTGTAGGTTCCCCTCGTCGCCTTCGTGAGTCAGTCCTCGTAATAGTTTGCATCTCTTGTAATTCGTCTTCAAAACTGTATCTAAAGTAAACTGTATCGGGTTGATTATAAGGAAAAACTACTTCTTTAATTTTGCTCCAGTAAATTTTATTACCATCTGTATCTTTTAACCAATTCTTCCCTTTAATTAATTCTTTAAAATCTATGAAATCAGCTTGCGTCATTTGTTATACTTGACACTTATGCCCGGTAACTTTGGCATTCTCTATCAAGGAATACATTTAATCAGGTGTGTAGATAGTATGCTTTTTCTTAGAACGCTCACCTTTCTCCAAAAACCTATGTGTTATTTTTATGTTGTATTTCTTCGCCGCTAAAGAAAACATGGCGAATACTAAACGATTATGATTTTGCCCTGCGCATGAATCAGGATAAAAGGATATGTTTTTTATTCCTATTTCAACGTGTGCCTGGATAAATGACCAAAGACAACTAGCTATTTCTATCGCACCCCCTTTTTCGCAATTTGACAATGCCAGACGTAGCAGTAACCTTTCTTCTCTAAGATATTATAAATCGTGACATTGTATACAGGACACTTTCGTTTCTAATGAAATATGCCTACTTCACTTTGGGGGATATTTAACACTTTTTCCAGATCAAAACATGCTACAACACTGTCATCTGAACAAAATTTTTCCTTTTCTTGTTCCTTTAATTGCCTAACCATTTGTTTTTCTTTCAAGTGCTTTTCATAGTCAGCTTTTCTAACATCATCAGAAGTTTGGTAAATTGAACATATTTCACATAAATCTTTTTTAGGTTTGTGAAAGGATAGGTTAAACTTCGTATTAAATATTATTTCATACTGCCGTTTAGTTGATTTGCATGTTTGATTGTACTGGTGGTTTGCATCTACCCATTCTAAATATAGTCGGTGCATTTTAGAGACATTCAATGTTTCACGCAGATATTGCTTTTGACTATCTTTACGAGTACAGTGTGATTCAATTCTTTCAAATAAATTTATATGGTCGATTATACTTTTCTCAGTCTCTTCTGACATTCTTCTTGGCCTATTCTTATGAGTTCCTCTGTAATCTTTTAAATAATTGTCATCTCCCAATTTATCCATAGCTGTGTATACTACTTGCTGTGACAAGGTACTTAAAAACATAGTTTACAAACTTTAATCATGGAATTAGTATCATCGAATAGTTGATATGTTAATGTTTGAGTACGATTATTTTTACGTTCAACTATGATTTTTTGACGTTTTCTTTTTTACATGGCGGTTAATAAAATCCCACTATCTTTCGTGGTCCCCGATAGCCCAAAAATTTAGAAAAATTTTACTCCTCATATTTTGCTGTATCTTTTCGTAACATTTCAGTTTACAGTTGCATGGTGGACCTATAGATTTTTCTACGTTTTGATTTTTAGTTCTAACACTTTCATAACTTATACCAGAATTTTTAAGAGTTTTATTTTTGCTATCTTTCCATAAATTAAGATCTATTTTTCTCTTTTTCGTAAGCGGTTCTATATGAGTGTCGGGTCTTTCCTCCGATTCTGTAGTTACAATATCCAGTGATATATTTTGTGTTTCAATACTATGTAAAAAACCCTCTAAGTCGGAAATATTTCTTAGATCGTAATCATTATTAATGTATAAAACAGTCAGCGTGGCTATAAAATCTATTTTTTGTTGGGTTGATGGAGTCATTACAATAGAATTATCAGTCGTCTGTAAATCATCATTATTATTTACAGATTGCAATGGAGTAGGGTATTCCATTTCAGGTAGTAATGATTCAATAACGTTATGAGAAATATCTAAAATGTCATTTGTTGGTACATTTGGTGGTGAGGTATTATTACCATGTGGAGATACATTTACTACTATTAATGGAGCCGGTGTAATAAAATCATCAGGTTCTGAGTTGACTTCTTTGAGGTCTGATATGCCGTCAATGGGGAAAGAATTTCGCGAAAGGTATGTGAAATTTTCTGAAACAAATTACTCAAATGACTACATTACTATGTTTTCAATAACTATTTATTTACATTTAAACTCAGCCCCTCACCCCACGCAGCCCTTGTTAAGTTTTGAAAAAAAATATATATATATATATACAACGTGTCCCAAAATTCAACGATAAGCCAACACCGGAGAATAGACCTGCCCCGGACTAATCGGGGAAAAAAAGAAAAAAAAATATATCCCAATTATATTTTAAGTTATATAAAAAAAATGAAATTCTTCAGAAATTGAGACCGTTTATGATATTTTTCACTACCATGACCACAATTTTTTAAATATTTTTTTCTTTTTTTTATAGGCAACCTGAATAGTACTGCTATCTACCACAATTCTTAAAAACTCCAGAATAACTCTTGTTTTATCACGAAAATTAATGAAACTTATTTTATTTCCTAAATTTTTTGAAGACTTTTACTTTTAACCAAATTTAACTTATCGTGGTGTAAAAAAAGTATAAACACTAGTATGGCAAGTTTTTTTTTAAAAGTTGACGCAACTAATCAACATTCCAAAATGGTATAATACTCTAGGAAAACAAGTTATAAAAAAAATATAGGCCTATTATTTCTTAACAGGGGTCAAATGCCGGTCAGGTGTAATAAAAGTATTAGTTCTTGAAAAATGTTGAATATTTCAAAACAAATGGTACAAACAGTTTCACGTGTAATTTATTAAGTTATTAACATTATAGCAAATGTTCGAACTGTTTGCCACCAGCATTAATACATGCACGACATCGCCTTAAAAATGATCGTTTTATTTGTCTTGCATATTTTCTGCTATTAATGTAATCAGCAGCCTGAGTGATATTTCGACGAAGCTCGTCCAATGTCGCAATGGGTTTTGAGTAGACCCTGTTTTTAAGACAACCCCAAATAGAAGAAGTCCAGGGGGTTCAAATCGGTTGAACGGGGTGGCCATAAGATAGGACCAAGTCGCCCGATCCAACGCCCTGTATACTCTTGATTTAAATATTCTCCCACAGGACGGGCATAATGTGCTGGGCAACCACCATTTTGGAACCACATGTTTTGAAGATCACTTAAGGGCACGTCGTTTAACAATTCTTGCAGGTCATTTTGTAAAAAGTTTAAATAACTATTGCCATCTAAGTTTCCTTGTAACTCAAAGTTAACCTTCAATTGATATTGGGATTTGTCTTGTCTCATCAAGTGTGGATTTTCATTACTCCAACTAGGTACTTAGGTTGTGAAGATTTAAATACCCATCTTTCTTGCACGTTGTTTTATCCGAATATAGAATTTTGTCTAGGAAGTGGGGATCTTCACTGTGCCTTTGCAGCATAACACGGCAAAATTTAACTCGTAGCGGATAGTCCCGCGGTAATAATGTCTGCACACGCTTGTAGTGATATGGGTGTAGCTTGTGACGTTTTAATATTCGATGTGCAGAACTTTTCGGGATTCCTTCAGCTTCTTCTATGGCACGTACCGAAGTAGTCGAGTCATTTTCTATCTCATTGAGAACTTCATCACGATCCAATCTAGGTCTTCCAGCGCTTCTCCTATTGGATGGCATACGACCCTCCGAAAACGCTTGATGCACATTAATAAACACTCGATAATCAGGATATTTTTGAGCATTTGGGTATCTTTCTCGATACAGTCTGCTAGCAGCGTTAGAATTACATCGTCATTCTCCATAGATTAAATGCATATTAGCGTATTCCTGTGGTGTGTACGGTTGCGGCACGTTTCATCATTCTCACCTTTAATTTCATTTTGTTCTTCAAGTTCAATACTACTGTCATCTTCATTAATAATATTGTCTGGAAAAAAAGTACTTAACATGGATCAAAAAATGTCTCGATACAATATCAGCTGAGCCTGTAAAAGCAAATAATCCTTCTAAAAAGAATAGTTACATAATACATAAGACAATAAATTAGCTAAATAATAGGCAACCGCCGCGCGGTGCCTGTGTCAGGTGATTTTCGTTCTTATTACATTTAACTAAAAAGATTGTCGGAGTCCACATAAAAGTTCCATTGATTAAAATGTGTATCCTCTTACTTACAAAAGTAGTTAATCAATAATAATATGTAGGTACATACCGTGTATCCTATAGTTCACCAATTTTAATATCTTTCTGCAACGACTTGAAGTACCTCTGTGTCTATTCATAATTATACTTATCACTCATTAATGATTTAATAAGAATATTAACAACAATGCATGTGCTCAGTAAACAAACGAAATTACATAATAACTCGAGCAAATTCGCATCCGGACTGACCTTCCGGGGTCTAGCGATGTCACGCGCATCTTACATACCCCGCCCCCGCTTCGCCCCTTTTGTAACGAGCGATTGCAATAGACACTAATGGGAAAGTATCCGTTTATTAAACGGTTACTACCAATAACTTCAAATTCATGATCGAATAATATTAGGGCTTAAACCTTTACAAAAGTAGAAAAAACAAGAGAAAATGTTAAAGACAATAGCATAGCTGTAATTATTATATTCAAAGTTTTGCCGCCTGCTATGAGGCATTACTGATAAAAGTCGCTTGCGTTTTTACACGAAAAATCGTGCAAGAGTTATTACCCAAAGGAAAGGATAGACACGAGCGACAGATTGATTTAACACGTTTAATCTGGTGAACTCAAATAAACTAATAATCGGCAATAAGCGCATCTTTTATTATTCATGTGATATGTAAATATTTTTTTCCGTACAATAAAGGAATATTGTGCTATAAAAGGCTTATTCGAAGTCTAAAATATTCAAAAAAAATATAGGTGTATAATAGGCCAAGCAAACGAAAAATACGAAAAAAATTTTGGGTAAGAGCTCTTGCACGTTTATTCGTTGGGGCCATCGACTTATTTCATTAGGTTAATCATATTTATGCCTGTTTCTTAACGCCAACCCAGTCGCTTCTTATTTTTACTACGGTTATTTCCCATTTTAATTTTACGTCGTCCAGTTGCGTAATGTATATTCTGATCGAAAGCGACACAACCTCCCCGTTCAAAGGCCAAAGCGAAGTGACCAGAACCAGAACCAGTGCGGCAGAAATCACGCTTCAAAAGGCCGATAGTTTAGGTAATTTCTTTTTACAGTGAATATAATGGTATTTAAAAAAAAGTAAATAACATAAGCACTGCTTTATAGTTAGTTCAGTTAGTATGCAAAGTTTCATGATCTTATTTAAAGTATTTTATGAATAACAGCGGTTTATTGTTTATTTTGGAGGTAACTTTGGATTTTTTTTCTATCGAGAAAATTTTACGAAATCGTGTTTTCGTTTAACATAATCCTTTCAAATTAATCATCAAATCCTCAACTTTACCATATATTTATTTCAAAATTAATGCTGCAATATTTTCGGCATAACGTAGGATCTTGCTAAGCCATTTGAGATTATATTTCCCCTTAAAAAACACGTTCTTCAAGTTTCGATTTTCGCGTATAAATAATAATAATTTGATGGAATGCTCATAAAAAAACTTATTATTTAAAAAAAATGATTATCATAGAGCATTCAAAATATATAATGTTTGATAAAAATATTCATTCTTCTCGTTTTACAATAAATCCATTAAAAGCTACCTATGCCAATACCATTCAACCTTTTTCTATGTTGATGTTTGAGTATTCAACCAACTTTAATATTCAAAGATGTTGATGTATTTAACCTACATGTGTTTGTAAAATTTAATAGTGTTGGAGATTTAGATTTGTATGTGCCATAATGACACAAAATTTTATTGAGCAGGTGTGCAGTACTGTCTATGTAATGTTTCCTCCCCCGCACCAAAAGTGACAGAGTTATTTGTTCGTAGCATTAGGCGCATTAGGTACTCGTCCATTGGGTTGAATGGTTTAAGATTAAAAGGCACATACTTCTACTTTCGATGTTTTTGATTTCATTGAATACTCATGAAAAAGCTTATCATTTAAAAAAATTATTTTCTTAAAATACACCAAATTCAATTATATCTAAATTGAGATATGAATGTAACTTATATTATTAATGATGCCTGTTTTTTTTTTTCAGGTTGCGTCTAAAATAGTAGAATTCGCGACTGCAATACCTAAAGTAATAACATCAGTAATTTCAACTGTTAGTTATTTTCTTAAACAACATACATTTGAGTTCCAAATACACATTTTAAGACATTTATCTAATACATTTTAATTTTCCTATTTATTTCAGGGTTTTCAATTATTTGACAATATTTTCGGAGGGTTTTAAAAGTTCACCGTTGTATTTGTAACTAAAGGTTTCATCATCGTCAAAAGCAAAAATCATGATTATTGCTTACCACTGATATTTATGAAAGGTTAACGTAAAAATAAAGTGTTTTTAAAATTCATATATTGGTTTCAATAATATTCGTAAGTAATAAGAAGATCCTGATGTAACAATGGTTTGTTATGCGCTAATAAAGAAAAGGCCAAAAAGAATCGTTTCATAACAGGAAGTTGTAGATTTCATAAATCTCAATTTTATTAATAATGGCACATTTAAATATTCATAATAAATTGTTATTTCTATTACCTAATTTTTAAGACTACATTTTATGATACTACATACCTAAGTTTTTGTTGTTTACATCCATTAAAATTTCTTATCATATCCGGCAGTAGGTACAAATAAAAACCGACCAAGTGGGAATCAGGACTCTTTCTATTATGGTTCCGTACACATAAACATACTAATTAACTCTTTTAACACTAGAGTGCACGCGCGCTCTACTATGGTAGAACACACTCACTCATTTTGGCGCCATTCATTCATTTTTACTCCTGAGCCCCCGCGCTCCTTGTTAAATCTCGTCGACAAAATCACGGAAAGGATTAGTACGGCGCACACCTGCAGCGTAAGCGCATTTTTCCGTAATTAGGTGTTAAAGTTCAGCTTCTACCGTTGTAGTACGTGCGAGTATTGACGTAATAAAACTGAATGTAAGTAAATTTATTATTTTGTGACTTTTTTAGCGAAATAAATGGATCCACACTTAGAATCTCGCTTGAGCCAGTGGTTGCATGAAGAACAAGATGATGAATAAGTGATTCAAAGTGAATCTGATGATGGGGAAGAAGGAGTACAACCAATGGAACAGGAAGACCTGGGACATGAAGCCGTAAACGAAAACCATGCGTCATCGTCTGAAGATGATATGCCTCTTTCTGAACTCGCTCAGAACAATACACGAGACGTTGTTTTTGTATCTAGAAATGGAACACGGGTGGAGTAAAACATGTGCTGCAGCAACACGGGTAAGATCTCAAAACATCCGGTTTAGACCTCCAGGTCCAAAGAGTGCTGCAAGAGACGCTGAAACGCCATTATCTTGTTTTGATCTATTTTTTGATGCGAGTGTTTTCGATATCCTTGTTACTTGCAAAACAAATCTGTCGCATTACTTTCTACAATGCACTACGACGATGCTATAGATCCAGAAACGAATGATGACCGTAAACCAGAAATAATCACTTGTTATAACCATACTAAGTGTGGCGTGGATATTCTCGACAAAATGTGTAAGCGGTACAGCGTTTTGCGAAACTGCCGACGATGGCCACTAACACTTGTTTTCAATTATTTGAATATAGCTGGAATAAATGTCTTAATTATCCATCAACTAAATAAAGGCCAGGAAAAGATTGTGAGACGCAATTTCCTCTACGATCTTTCGTACGAGCTGGTAAAACCCCTCATGGCAAGAAGATCGACATTTGAAAACCTCCCCAGAGTATTAAAAAATAAAACAAAATGGCTTCTGGGGCATACAGATGAGGAGCCTCGCAATGAACCTCAAAAAATTGGAAGAGTAGACAAATGTTGCCTGTATTCTCGAGCCCGAAATCGGTCCACGATAAAGTGGTGTAAACGACGTACCAGGTGGATTTGTCCTGATCACCAAGTTGTGGTTTGTATCGAATGCGAGAATGGCGACCAATAAGACAGTCACCTATTATTAGAAGTTTTTTTTTTTGAGCTGATCTCAAACATGCGAAAAATGTTGATTATTTTGTTGATCTCTTAAATTGTTCCCAAGTTAAGTATATTCTATTAAAACTCAGATTTTTTGCAATAACTGTGTGCAATTATAAATAAAGAACCAATATTATGCAGATTTATCATTTTAAAACCACCCGCTTTTTAAATATTTACAATATTGTTTTCTACCAGGGTAGAGCATGCGAGCATCCATGTAAAAAAAAGGGGCGCGTGCACTGTAGTGTTAAAACTATATACATAAATTAATAAGGGATAATTAATCTTCTTTTTTTCAAATATTGAATTTTTTTACAATTTTTTTTATTTTACATTAAAAAATAACTTAACTAAAATAATAATTAAAATTATAATATTTACGATTAAAACTAATTATATACAATATAAAAGAAGAAACTATAATATAGAAAATCTAAAACTAAAAATTTAAATCGTCAAAAAGACCTGCTCCCCGTGGTATAGTGCCAAGAACGCTGGCTGCGTTTCCACGCTGAATAGCTATACTTAGCCTTTGAGCGGCGACGACCAGTCGTGGATACAGTTCCTTTAGAAACTTCATTGCACGTGGACCCCCCGGACCGATAGTCTCTACAGCAAATGGCACAAATATGTAGTCATTTCTCAAAGACTCATATTTGGGCCATTTACTAAATTTGGCTACCTCTGATGCCGCCCCGGCTCTAAAAGAGGTACCCTTGAGATGAGAGGCCTCCAAAGTGTCAACGCAAGTAGCATCCCACACTAGGGCTTTACCTCTCTCCCAAGGGACCAAAGTCATACCGTCGGGTCTCTTGTCATCGTCTCTAAACATCCCGCAAGGCTCTAAAACAGAGGGGATATTTATAGAGACAAGAGCCCTTCGGATGATTTCGTTCAAAGAACCGTGACGGGAAAACCTACCTGCACTTTTCTTGCATGAAAGTCCGTGGAGCCCAAACTCATCGACGCTGCTACCACAGGGGCACTAGTGAGGTTGACAAATAGCCACTCCTAGCCGGATTCCTACAGCAATGCGCAAGCTTTCCCCATCAAGCAATGTGCCGAGATTACTTGATGGTAGAGCATGTAACCAGTGGCTAGATTCCTTAGCCGAAACAGCTAGAAGGCGAGCCTGATCTTGTTGAATATGGAAATTTTGAAATAATTTTTTATAATTAATTAATGTTTTTTTCTGTCTAAGTTCTTAAGCAGTATATAATAAATAAATATTTTGAATTGATGTTTTCAGTGTTTTTATTATAATCCATTATATAATTCGTAATATACAGAATTTTTAAATTCCTCACTAGTATAATAAATAGTATGGTGATAACATAATGGTCTAATACTGACAAATTTTTATACTCCCTATAAAATTTCTTTGTATTTAAAAAAAATATAAAATATTATTTACTTTATTCCACTAGCTCTAGAGAGTCTATATGGCACTCCATGTGCTACAATAAGAAAACACATTTTTCGGCTCCTTTTTCATGTATGGAAACCCTTAAAAAATTTTTATTGAATTTCTAGATTATTATTCGATTTTAGGTCTACACTCTACACGAATGAAAGGAATAAGTTATATATTTTAATTTATCCAAATTTAAAATATATCTCATTCCGTAAGAGCTAGAGATCAGTGACATACGGACTGACTGACGAACAGACAGACAGTAGAATTAGATTAATAGTTCTCCGTTTTGCCGTTTGGATACGGAACCCAAAAACTAACTTACTCTACTACAGCCGTACACGTAATGCCCATGAAAGAACCTTTTGGAAGTAAACGATTAAGTAGCTTAAGGCTGTTTAAAAGTGCAATCGGTATCAACGCTCCCTTCAGTATTAGAAATGAACATCACGCAGAGCTCGTTCACGCTGATAGTTTTCGCACTTTATGTTTCCTTTGTGATATGTCACGAAAATGTCAGTACCGTGCCATATCAACACTCTTTATTCAATATAAATCCTCCGGAGTGAGTATAAAGTTAATTTACTTTCTTAAAAAACTTGTCTCACCGCTTAAACTTCTACTTCATCAAAACTAGATCTTTCATAAAACAAATGCTTTATCATGCTGTATCATGACATTTAAAAGGTTATTATTATATCACAAATATAATTTTCATCCTGTAAATATTTTAGTGTTTGGCAATATACTCTTTAAATCAGGGATTTTTGACATTATTTCTACACTTGGAAGGTGGTATGGTGCTGCTCCTCGTCATAAGTTCATAAAATTGTCACTCCATATGTGTAGCCCACGCGGACTATCGTAACTAAATATTTATGCCTTATCAACAGCCCTCATGGTACCGTCTTTACCATAAGGTCACACGGGGCCCGTGTCCAGGGCCCCTAACATCACGGGGCCCCATTGACGAAAGGCACCGGACCTTATTCGCTTACGCTATACAATATTTTGTCTATTTTTGCCAATTAACTATAATAAATGTATGATCATAGCAGAAAAATGATGAGGCCCCGGTATGGCCTAAGACGGCGTTGTTCATGGTGCATAATATCGCACGTGTGCCTTTACATATTTCACAGACGACTGATGAGCTTACTGCTTGCGATATAATGTGATGAATTTCCGTCTTAATTTTACGTCGTCACCATAAATAAATTTTATTTGTCACCATAAATTATTTATTGATATATTCCAGACTGTTGCAAGTTTCCTTAAAATGCTTGTGGACGACATACGTGTGAGACATAATTAACAGTGTTAAATTGTACAATATTAAAATAGTATAAATAAGAAGCTCGTGAAGTTAATGTGTTAAAATAATAATAAAAGATGAGACAAATTGAGTGTATTAAGCGTTTGGTTATAAGTTTCAAATGGAATGTAAAGTTAGTTACTTAAACAATAAAAACGTAATGAGACATGTAAAGTGTAAGGTCCGTTAAAAGTTCATTGCCAAGTGCCATTGCATATAGTCGGACCTCATAGTACTCATCGTATAGTACGGTGTGTAGGAATGAAAAAGATTCTTCTCACCCCGCATTACTAAGCCAATTATTATTAAAACGTGAAGGATTTAAGAAAAAACAATATTCGTTCAACCTCAAAGATATCTTAATGAGGTCTGGGGTGGGGGCGGCCGCAAGCGCATAAACTGATTTTATTTATGTTCTCTATAAGATGATATGTTAACCATTTGTCACCTGTCACTGGTTTTTGTTTGATATGTTCTTTGTACTTTTTTAAGGCCCCCAAACTTTGGATAGCCCTAAGGGGT